GGGCGCAAGCGCCTCAGCAGCGGCGAACGGCCCAGGGGCGCTGCGCAGCGTGCAGAGCGAGAACGTGAGCAGGACCATGTTGCCAGCGCAGGATTCCAAGTAACCCTTGTCGTGGACGGGCGCGCCGACGGCATGCTCGATGGAGGGAGCGAAGAGGCGCGCGAGCGGGCCCCGCGCGTGGGCCCGACCCGAACCACAAGCATAACCACCTTATGCCACGCCGGACTCGAACGCGAACGTGAAGTAGCGCGTTCCCTCAAACATGCCGTAGCTGTTCGGGGCGAAGTGCACGTTGCGGGGGGGTCTGTGGAGACCGACTGGAATCCCGAGTCGCACAACAATGATGCGCGCGATGCGTTTGGCGAAGTTGCGATCACTAACGACGCCTCGATGCGCCATGAGAGTCCGCTCTGCCACAGCGGCTTTGAAGAAGAAATGGGCTGCCCCAGCGATGGCCTGGACGTCTGTGTTCTCCAGGGGGAGCAGGCGCCTGTTCTCTGGGGCACTGTCCGTCGCGAGCTCGCCAGTAGGGCGGTCGCCCTTCAGGATGAACGCGAAGCCGGGGTCGTTGAGGGAGCGGGGGGGTAACGTTGTTGGAGCAGAAGGGGGGTGAGAGATCCTCCAGCAGGACCAGGGGCGAGTCGCGAGCGAGCCGATCACGGCGTGGCTGACAGTCAGGACCAAGAGCTCATTGTGAGGTGCGAGACAGGAAGGTGCGGGGTTGGATATTCGTCGGCTCGGCGACGTCGAAGGTGGGGCCACTCGGCATGCGCCCGACGAAATACTGCTTGACCCTGGGATCGGCGACGCGCCTGCGCGTGAAGACAGGCTACCAGTGCTCGCGAAAGGGCAGCAAACATTGAGCATCTCTCTCTGGCCGCCCCATGAAGGCCCTGAGGGTCGGAGATTCTGATTCCCTATAAGCCCCGACGGCGCAGCCACTGGGCCCGCAGGAGAGCCCTGCGAAGCAGGCAACGGAGGAGCCGCAAAGTTTTCTCGGGCCCGAAAGCCCCTGGCGCGCCCAGGGGAAGCTGAGCGGCGCGCTGGGCCAGAGAGCGCCGCAAGTCCTCGTGGTCGCGGAGCGGCGCGGTGGACTTGAGAGCAAGCTCGGACGCGCGCGCGAGCATGATGGGGCCGTCTGGGAGCGAGATGTACTTGGCGCCGATCCCGGTGACGGGTTTGATCTCGTGCGTGGCAAGTAACAGGGGGCAGATGAAAATGCGGTCGATGGCAGACTCAGCGAGGGCGGACTCGTTGAAGCGGGCCGGGAGGTCGGACTCAACGGCGAGCATCGAGTCGCAGAGGCCATTCCAGAGAAGGCTGCAGCTGGCGCGCAGAATTAACAAGAGCGGACCGAACGCGCTGCGGTTGCGGCTGGATCCACCAACTCAGAGAGGAAGAGTTTGCACGGGAATGGCGGCGAGTCGACCAGGGAGCGAAGCAGGGCCACCGAGCCTAGGTCCACCTGGAGCGGGATGGCGAAATGACGCCGATATACTTCGGCAGAGCGGCTTGCACGCGACGGCTATGCTTCCGCCTGTGCCACATGAAAGCGCTGGCGTTCCCGGAGAAGGCGGCGCTTGGAACGATGCCCTTGGGCGCCAGCGATGGCGACCATGGGGGGTTAAACCAGCCGCGAAGCAATCGCTGTGTCCGCGCAGAGCGCCTGAAACGAGGTGAGGACGCCGCCGCGGTCGAGGTCGCTGAAGATGTCGTGCTCGAGCGCGTTGACGCTCCACGAGGACGGCCGGGTCGGCTTGGCCATTGATCTTGAGGCGGGCGCTTGGCGTGGCGTTGCTGTGGATCTCGCCTCTGGAGCGGATGGCCCTCCATGACACGTCGGGGTAGCGCTGCTGGAGGAGCTGGCGTAGCTTCTTGCGTTGAATCCGGGTGCGGATCTGCTCCGGAGTCTCGTTACAAATCAAATAGATATCGACGCGGGCGCCAGCCGCGCCCGCGGATTCGCCGCGCTCCCACTTGCAAGCTGGGTCGCGCGAGGCACGTTTGAGCGCGAGGGCGCGAGGAATTGCGATGGCAATGTCGCCCTTGACCTGTAGTATGAAGCGCCCGGCAAGTTCGCCCCCGTGCAATTCGGCAGCGCTACGCGGAAAGTTGGCCGACGCGATCCACTCCTGGAAGTCGTTGAGCAGGAACTTGGGAGCGATGGGGCGCTCGCAGCCGACGGCGCAGAGGGTCGCATCTGGGGCGCGGCCCCATTTGGAGAGCTTGGCGAGGTCGGCGATGGGAGCCTGCGCCTCCGCAAGCGCGAGGGCGTCGCGCACGTGGTCGATATGCTGCCACATGCGCTGCTGCTTGGCTGCCTGTCGATCTTGCTCTCTGCGAGTGCGTGCGGCGACGTCGTGGAGGGTGTCGACGCGGCGCTCTGTAGCGAAAGCTTGCTGCGCCAGCAGCTCGCGGAAGCTCTTTCGGGACTCGTTGAGGAGTGTGTTGGCCTGAGCTTGAAAGGTGCTGGCGACGTGTGCGCCTTGGTCACGCATGAGCTGTTGGAGAGCGGCGTCGAAAGCTGGATCGTCGGCTGGGAGACGAACTTCAGGAGGACCTGGAGGTGCGGGATGAACGACTTCTGCTTCGTGAGCACCGCGGAGGGCACCAGGGCCAGAGGCGGCGGCTCCGCTGGCGGCAGGTCCGCAAGCCTTAGCATGTAGGGTCAGCACGACGGGCGGGAGGTCCCCGAGCAGCATCAGCGCGATGTCGCTGACGGGAAGCGGCCTGGTCACGATCGCGATGGTCGGCTTGGTCACTGAGCCCCTTCTGGTGACGACGACGTGAGGATTGCGAAAACGGGAGACTGCGAGATGCCGATCGAGTATGTGAGTTGGAACTGCGCGATGACGCCGCCATGATGAGCGAAAACGTCCGGCACGGGGGCGGAAATGTCGGTCGGCGGGCTGCTTTGGGCGAGGAACGGCAGCGCGAACTGGTGGCTCGGAGCAGCGCTCGACGAGGCGGTACGGAAGCTCGGAGCGGAGCTCGACGAGGCGACGTGGATGCTCGGCGCGAGGCACGAGGCAATATGGAAGTCCGGCGCGATGCACGAAGCGAAATGGAGGGCGGCCTGCAACGACAGAACATACAGCAGGAATGGACGGCAGCTCGTACCTTGGTGTGGCTGCAAACCTATTGGGACTAGCCGCCGACTAGCGGTATCCACACTGCGCTCGCGATGGCGTGCCATCTTGAGCCCAAATGGCTACGGAAGGAGGCATGGGGAAGAGGAGGAGGACGAGGAGGAGGACGAGGAGAAAGAGTATGAGGAGGAGGCGGAGGAGGAGAAGCAGGCAGGAGGAGGTAGGAGGGGGCAGGAGGGGAGCCCCTGGGCAAGCTAAAAGGATCCTCATGCGAGGTCCTACCGTCGAAGAAATTTCTATGTAGTTGTCCTATGGCACACCCCTCGCTCGGCGCGTATGCAGATCAGGGGGCGCTCCATACCCTTCCCTTCCCAACATTCTCGGCTGTCTTAAAACCAACGAATACTTTGCCGCCGCGTAACGGATGCAAGGGGCCCTGACACAAGATCTGCTCAGGATGGTTCAAACACTCCCCAGGATACTCAAGATGCCCCCGAAAGGCGTTAACTATCTCTCCTGACGCCCACAGGGGGGCGTCCGACGGGCCGCTGTGAAGCTAAAGCCATCACAGGAACCTCAGCTTTCGCAGTGTTGTTACTTCCAAGCGAGGGCCCAAGAGCGACCCCAAAGGGCTCCAAGAAGCCCGCACTAGCCCAAGACAGCCCAAGGACTTCCAAGCTGACCGCTTTTCTGCCCAAGAACTTTTCCAAACACGGTCCACAGCGACCAACCGAGCCTTTTCGGAGCGCTCGGTCGAACCAGCGCGCCCAATTCGGGCCAAGAGAACCTGGAAGCCCGCGAGTGCCCTGCAGAGCCATAGTTCTACCGAATTGCACACGTTTCGGTGCTGCGCTGGCACGGTTGCAGGGTCTGCCACAGGCAGCTGGACATTATCGCATCAGCGCGCGAACATACTTGTAGCTCATGCTTGTGTCGGCAGAGACATGATAGTAGTTATTGTTGTGGCCCTATGAAATACTAGCTTTAGGTCCGGCAATTGCGACTAACAGGAGGTCCACGACCACTTCGGGCCAAAAAAAACAAACCAGAAAAAACAGCAGAAATTCTTGACACGAAAACCTGGGGAGGTCGACATCCTGAACAAAAATTCAAACACCAAACCTGCGAAAAACTCAAACCCACAAACAACTTTACAATACCTGAAACTCGAGCCTGGGAAAAACTCAAACCAAACAAACATTCCAGAACATCTCTCAACCGACACCTGGGAAAAACGGTGGAAAAACTGTCGGACAACTCTGGAAAGCTTTGGATACACTCTAAAAAACTCTGAAAACACTTCGGAAACACTCTAAACGACTGAACACTTAAAAAACACTCTGGGAAACTCAGCAAAACTCTAAATGCTCCAAAACTCTAACGAAACTAAAAAACTCTAGAACAACTATGCAAAAAAAACCCGGGGAACACTTTAAAAACAACTCTGGAAAAAAAACAACCTTCTGGGTTTGAGTTTTTTCCAGGTTTGAGCTTCAGGTTTTTGTTTTTTTTTCTGTGGGTTTGAGTTTTTCCCAGGTTTCGGGTTCAAGATTTTCTGTAGTTTTCTTCTGTGTTTGAGTTTTCCCCAGGTTTTGTGTTTGAGATTTTCTAGGGTTGTCTTGGATTTTGAATTTCCCATTCAAGATTGTTTGATATGTTTTGGGAGTTTGAGTCCCCGGCCGAAGATGTTTTGAAGATTTCGGCAGGTTTTCCTATGGACCGCCTGTAGTCAATTGCCGAAGCTAATACTAGCTTCCATCTCCGCGTACGCAATCATTAACGTACATGCTGACTGGAGAGGCAGTTGACTCAGTAACACCATTTGCCATGTTCTGTGTCGAAGTCAAACTCCTGATCCTCATGCTAGTGGGCGTCCTCCTCCTTTGCCCTTCCCGCTTCCCCCCTGCCGTCCTGCACTGGGGCTGAGGGGACTCCAGCCTCGAGTTCACTGGCTACAGCAACTACCTTGCCCGGAAGACCGCTGGTGGACGACGTCGCGCACGCGAGCACATATAAAAGCCAAACGCAAAAGTGGACGCGCAACACAAATCTCTGGGAGAGCACATCCAATCACTGACCAATCCAACCGTTGATGCATTACGCGCAATAATATCTACAACGGCCGCAACGAAACGGAGGACACTCGCGCGCATACACGTTGTTTATCTTATACGCATGTTCGGCTATAAGTCTCGTCCCGTCTAGCTGGGTACGATCTCGTACCAAACAAAAGGGACACAAACGCGCCCCCCGCCGATCCAATATGGGACAACTCGCAGGAAAAGACGTGAGAGAGCGGGTGAACCGTTACAATCGTCAGTGGCATGGTGGTGTATCAAAAGGGGCGACTGTTGGCGGTGTTGCTTCCTGCTCTGGCCAGGCCATCGCAGATTCGGTGGCGTCGGCTGGGGAAGGGCATCAAGAAGAGGGGAACGACGGGTAGCCACGGACACAAGCCGCGTAGACAACAAAACCAAACCGAGAAAATCAAGCGGAGAGGTGGGGGTCGGGGAAGCAGAAACGGGACACGGAAATCACGATCAGGATGGCAAGGGCGACAGAGCCAGGCAGCGGAGGTCAACGCGGAGGAGGGCACGGGGCCACGCCCAGAACGATGACGTGCTCAGACTGGGCGCCCGCAGCGAACAATCGCCAGGTGCAGTAGAGGCGCGCCTCTGCCAGCAGGTCGTCGCCGCTGCCAGCCTTTGCGGCGCGACGCAGCCGGTCGGCGCTGCGGCGTATGATCTCCTGGAGCTGGCTGACCTGCAGAGGGGGCGAATGGCGATCCGCGCAGGATGCCGATGGCGGCGCGGATGAAAATGCCAGAACCGATGCCGACGATGATGGCAGGTGAGCGGCGACGTGCTCCAGCGGCCGACGACAATGCAATCCTGACGCCCGGTCGATGATTATCCGATCCGACCATCCCCCCGGGTGAACAGCTCGTGAACCCCGGCCCTAAGTGTCTTACACGTTTTCCAATGGCGCGGGCGGGCCCACCTTCCTTCGGATGCCGCAGTCGTGCCTAAGGCCCTAAGGCTAAGAAGGCCCATGATTCACTCACTGTGCGGACACGGGAGAACAAACGACGCTCAAACATCCACCACCGCACCAAGTATGTTGGACACATCGTGGGCCTCTCAGGGCAGCAGCAACCTCCAAAACATACTGGATGAGATTGTCGAGGAAGGCGCAAAATCCACTGGCCCACTTGTGGGGCCACCAGGCTGTAGGACCAGGGTTTGCTGTTCCCTGCTTTCCAGTTTCCACTGATACAGTTCTGCTTCATGCTGCTTGCGGTTCCTTGTTGTAGACCGCGCGAAGGGGGGGAGCCAAAAACCGCCCTGGTTAGCACCTTCCGGGAGGGGTCTAAGAATTTCTGGGGGGAGGAAATTGACACCACTCTCGCAGATCGGCGGGGTCAGGGTCCTAAAACACATGGGATATGCTACATATTTCTGAAATTCGGCGGCACCCCTCACGCAGATCGGCGGGGTCAGGGTCGAAAAAACAATGGGATGTGCCACATGTTTTGAAATTCGGTGGCCCCCCCCTCACGCAGATCGGCGGGGTCAGGGTCCAAAAACACAATGGCTTTGCCACAGTTCAATACTTCGTGGAAAAGCTTCTTGCACAGCATATGCGAACAAACTCGAAGTACAACACCGAATTCAACAATAGCATCATAATCTCGATTTGTCTTACCGATTATTCATCGTCTTCGCGTGAAGACCCGACGCTGCTTCACGGCAGCGCCAAGGCCTGATGACTTCGCTCTTGCATTGCCTATTCTTCGAGACAGGGGGCCGGCGGCAGGGGGCGAAGCCGTTACGGATATGGTTTGGAACTCGACTGGGGGAAGGCCATGCAAAATCAAATCAACACAAATTCTGTGATATGCCAGCTGGGTAGGGGGGTCATCAAGACACTTCGGGACGCAATCTATCTGGGTAGCCTCTTCACCTGCGACGCAAAAGCAACAGCATAATGATCGGGACAACGAGGGGAAACCACAACGGCATTCAGTTCGCAGTCCAGAAGCTGGTGGCACCTGTCAACCCAGTGGACGCGAAAATGCGAAATGTACGGCGCCTGCGTTCTCAGTAAACTGTTGTATCCTCTGGATCCTTTATGGCTGCTAAAAGCCTACCAGAAACGATTGGGCGCGCGCAACATCTGTCAGACGTCTCCTTCGCATGCCATGACCCTATGCGTGAAAAAGCGCGTTCTGTGGGTGCTTAGAAAACTGGACCCCCCCATTGGATTGAACGGGGAGGGGGGGTTCGAACCCCCCCCCTCTCCCGTGACTGACGGAAGGGGGGGATTCGACCCCCCCCCCTCCTCCCCGACTTTTTCTCTCCTCTCCCTCTTCCCGGGCCGGCGCCGGCGTCGGCGGCAGCTGACGGCGGCGGCGGGGAGCGTCGATGAAGACGACGCCTTCCTTTTCTGGGCTGGCGCTGGCGCCTTCGGCGGCCGGCGGCGGCGGCGGCGGGGAGCGTTGACGAGGACGACGGCGACGGCGATGACGATAACGCTCCCCCACCGTGCCTTGGTTTTGGGTCAGAGTCCTACCAGATGCCTTCTGGGGTCTCGTCCGAGGGCTCCCGGGTGCCTCTGATGGACATGTGTGAAATGTCTTGGGCGCATCTTGGGTGTCTCTTTGAACCTCTCTGAGGTGGTGGTGGTGGGGGTGGCGGTGGCTGTGGCGGTGGTGGTGGCGGTGGTGGTGTGGTGATTGTTGTTGTTGGTGGTTGTGGTTGTGGTTGTGGTGGGAGGCTGTGGTGGTGGTGGTGGCGGTGGTGGCGGCGGTGGCGGTGGTGTGGTAGTCTCTGGTGGTGGTGGTGGTGGTAATGTGATGGTGGGTTGTGGTGGTGGTGCTGCTGCTGCTACTGCTGGTGGTGGCGAGGAGGTTTGACGTGGTGGTTGTGGTGGTGGTAGTGGTGATGGTGGTTGTGGGTTGTGGTGTTGGTGGCGGTGGTGGTGGTTGTGGTGGTGTGGTGGTTTGTTGTGGTGGTGTTGGTTGTGGTACTAGTGGTGGTGGTGGTGGTGGTGGTGGTAGAGGTGGTGGAGGCGGTGGTGGTGGTGAGGTGGTTTGTGGTGGTGGTCGTGGTTGTGGTGGCGGTGCTGGTGGTGGCGGTGAAGGTTGTGGTTGTTGGTGGTGGTGTTTGGTGGTGGTGGTGGTGGTGTGGTGATTGTTGGTGGTGGTGGTTGTTGTGGTGGTTGTGGTGGCAGGTTGTGGTGGTGGTGTTGGTGGCGGTGGTGGCGGATGTGTGGTGGTTGTTGTTGTTGGTGGTGGTGGTGGTAGGTTGTTCTGGTGGCGCGGTGGTGGTTGTGGCGGTGGTGGTGGTGGTGGTGCTGGTGTGGTGGTTTGCGGTGGTGGTGGTGGTGGTGGTGGTGGTGCTGTGGTTTGTGGTGGTGGTTGAGGTGTGGTGGTTTGGGCTGATGGTGGTGGTTGTGGTGGCGGTGGGTTGTGGAGGTTGTGGTGGTGGTGGCGGTGGTGGTGGTGTGGTGGTTCGTGGTGGTGGCGGTGGTGGTGTGGCCTTGGGGTCTTCCCGCCACCGTGTTTTGGCTTTGCGTCAAAGTTCTCATGGGTGCCTCTTGAGGTCTCGACAGAGGGGTCTCATGGGGCGTTTGAGAAGCATGCGTGAAGCCTCTTGGACCTTCCTAAGGGCCTCTCGGTGGTTTTTCGTGAGCGAGGGCTCGATATGGCGATTTGTGTTTCCCCTCTGCGGCCTCTGGGTCCTCTCTGGTCATCGTCGCTGCGTCCCTGCCGTTGGCGCTGCTGGCCGCCGACGGCGCCGGTGCTGGCGCTGGCGCCGGGGGGGGTTTTGGACCCCCCTCCACCCTGGGCCCTCTCTGCTCATCATCGCTGCGTCCCTGGCGCCGCCAGCGCCGCTGGCGCCTGCGTCGGCGCCGGGGGGGGGGAGGGGAGTTTGGGGAGGTGGGGGTTAGGGGGGAGGGGAGTCCCCTTGGTTCTGATCGGCGGCGCCGGATGTTGGGGGGGTGCCCCCCCGGCTCAAAACGCGCCGCCGAATGCTCCCAAGGCAAGCGCCCGTGAAACGCGCTCTCCGATGTGTCAAGAATGAGCAACCAAGAAATTGTCCAACGAGCTGGCACATCGATACTTTCCGAAAGGTTCTTATCTAGACAAATAAACTTATACAAGAAGGTCGTTGCAAGCGATGGCGGGTCACTCGTCCGGCGGGTGCTCTGCAACAGCGACGGGATTCCCCATCGGAAGCGCGGCCGGCCGAGGCCGCAGCAGGGCAAAGAAGTATATCGACCGACGCAGTGCGTGTAGCTTCCCCTGTGTGACCACCTCCCTTGCCTCCTCTCTGCGTGCAATCTGAATTTTCGTTCCGCAACGCTTCCAAGCAGTATTTCTGTCGAAGAGCCGACAGCGCACTCTTCTGCCGACGCGACCCTCTGGATGCTTGGCTTCGTGGCGGCGGCAGCGCACCTATGGCGCGTAGAACGCGTCAACATCAAGCGGTGCTATGGAGATTCGCATTCTGAAGGGCCGCCCCCGCCCTCTTGGCCGCGACAGCGCCCGTCCACCATGCATTCCCTCCCAGGTCATCTTCTGGCCACGTTCTGGACGCTCGGCCTTCGCCCATGGCCCAAAATTACCTTAGGATGATTCCAAGATTGCCCAACCGCCCGCAACGGTCCCAAGACGGCCCAATGTGCCCAAGTTAACTGTGCGATGGCCCCCAGAAGCCCCACTGTGGCGCCAAAAGGCCGCGTGGAGCTCGGAGATCGCTTGGAACGTCCCCACGAGGAGCAATCATCATCAAGCTTCTCTGCGTCTTTGTGTCTTGGAGGCGATCCTCAATCTGTGGAGTAAGGTCTCCAAGCAACTGCCTGACGGACCGATAGACACCCAAGATGGCCTGCAAGACGGTCTCTATGCTGCCCAAGACCGCCCCAATATGGCCCCCAGACTGTCCAAAGACCCTCCCAAACTGCCAGCCCCCCCGATCCCCCAAAAGGACACCATGATGACCCAACAACGCCACAGGAGGGCCTCAAACGAACCCCGGAGAACACCCCACGGCCCCAATACGGCCCCGAGAGGAGAAGGTCTTAAAATGTGCCCTAATGTTCGGCCACACGCCTGTCTAGGCCATGTCCTGAACACGTTTGAAAGAGTTGACTTGCGCGCTCGGTGTCTCTCAACGCGGATCTGCACGGCAACGCAGCTGGATAGACCTCACGTTTCCGTTTTCCCATAGAAGCTCGCGCCTCGAATGGAAGAGCCCACAAACACAGATTCTGGCTGGAGCAACCTGAACTGCCAGGAACGAGGCGGCCCGACAGGCCCGACTTATTCGCCTACTGTCGGCATCGCGTGGCAAGCCCACAGCGCGATCGGAGCCCACTGCAGGATGCTCCCGAGGGAAGAGCAAAGACTGGGAGGTAGGGGGTTGAGCGGAAAGACAGGCAAGGCCGGGCAAGTTCGGGCTGCTCATAGGACCCCCCCCCGTTGAGAAATCTTTAGCATGGGGGAGAGGGCTCCTGGCAGAAACGGGTCCTGAGCCTTGGCCATACCCCAAGACAAACTGTTCATCCAGAGTCGTTTCGTGACGACCCGGGAGCCCGAAAAATGCGAAACACCTACCCGAACCTCTTTGCTCCAGGACGCATTCCCTTCATGCTGAAATCCAGTAAATTCCCCGGATACTACGTACCGAAATCTAGAAAACTCTCGAAGGCGCACGGCTGGGGCGACCCGCATCTGTTCCTCCTGCAGCGTCTCAAGGATGTGCGCCTCCGGCTCTCTCGCGGCGCCTGCGGCAGCAGCGTGGCGAGCATCCTGGAGCGGGGCGGCAGAGGGGGGGCAGAGAGGGAGGGGCGGGCGAGGTGCTGGAACTGGCGGGGGACTAGCAACAAGCAAAAAGAGAAGGAACACGACGCGGGGGCGGAGGAGGCGAGCATGGGAGGGAGCGGGTAGGGAGACAAGGCGATAATGACGAGGAGAGGAGCAGGGATCGGAGAAGGATTCAAGCATTCGGGCCCCTCTGTCTCCGAGCAACCCCCAACCTCGACGGCCTCTCGAAACTATTTAACGTTGGGGAGCGAACGCGCGAAATCCACCGACCCTGTCGGCGTGTGGAAGAGGCTGTTCAGTTTGACTCGTCCTCGTCGTCGTCGTGGTCGTTGTTGTCGTCGTCGTCGGTGTCGCCGTCGCCGGTCCCCTCCCTTTCCCTGAGCCTGGCGCCGCTGCCTCCACTTTCACCGGGCCCTCCTCCTCGAGCGCGCCAGCCACAGCGAAATTGAGCAGCGCTGTAGTTGAGTCGAAGGGAAGCCCCTTCCCTTTGATCCCTTCCCCGCCGGGGGGAGGGTGGTCCCGGGGGGGGTCTTGGGGGAGGTCCCGTCCCGGGGGAGGTCCGGGGGGGGGGGTCCTGGGTCAGATACGACTCCCCTCCGGGCGGTTCGGGGGCCCAGACAATCCCCAAGACGTAGCAAAAGTGCCCCGAGAGGCCCCCAAAAATGTCCTCGAGGGCCCCGAATCGCCGAAGTATCGGTCCAAGTCGCGATAGCCTCCAGACAGCTTCGGAAGTTCCCAATCCAAGGGCACTCCCAAGAGGGCCCCAAGAAGCAAAAATCATAGATCGAATTCGCATGGCATCGCCACCCTATGTTGGCACGCCATTCGCACGCTTCGTGGCCCCATAGGGAGTTCCACCTAAGGTCCCAGCGGCGGAACTCGCAGGACGGCACCGTCCCATTTTGGTACACCTCTCACACGTTTCGCGGCATTGCCGCCCCATTTTAGCCCGCACCCCCCGCGCTTCGTGGCCCCATAGGGAGGTCCACCTAAGGTCCCGGTGGCGGAACTCGATTGGCAACGCCGCCCCATTTTGGCATGCCCTTCGCGCGCTTCGTGGCCCCATCGGGAATTACACCTTTGGTCCCAAGCGGCGGATCTCGCGGGGCGTCACCGCTCCATTTTGGCACACCTCTCACACGTTCCGTGGCACCATAGGGAGGTCCACCGAAGGCCCCGGCGGCAGATTCGCATGGCGGCCCCGCCCCATTTTGGCGCCCTCTTCATGCGTTTCGTGGCCCCATAAGGAGTTCCACCGAAGGTCCCAGTGGCGGAACTCGCACGGCGTCGCCGCCTCCCTCAGAGGGAGCTCCACCTACGGTTCCAGCGGCGGAGCTCGCATCGCGGCGCCGCCAAATTTCGGCGCGCCCGAAAGGCGGCGGCCCTCGCCAAGGAGATGGGCTTCACCGATCTGATCCGCGAGGCTTGACCTGAGGAGCGGCCCGCCCGAGACTCGCGTCCCTCGACGGTCTGACTGTTTGGCCTCGCGCCGTGGGCGACCCGCGCGCGTCGCTGAGACCCTCTCGGGGCGACCAGCGCGGGCGTCGTGGGAACTCCATGCTGCGCTCTGCCCAGCGCCTCGCACGCCCCCGTCGTCGTTCTGCCCAGCGGCCAGAGCCTTGCCCGCTATCGGCCAGCCAGCCAGCTCTCTCTGCTCCGCGCAGCGGACGACCCGCGCGCGTCGCCGGGACCCCTTCGGGGCGACCAGCGCGGGTCGCGGGAGCCCCGCGCGGCGCCGCGCCCGTGGCCTCGGACATCGGCGTGCGCGGGCGCGGCGCCGCGAGGAAGGAACGAAAGGGAGCGGGCGCGATCCTTGCGGGGGTCGCGCCGACGCGGGCGTCGACATTTTTGCGCGTAGACTCGCGCGCGCGAAGACTCTTTCACCCTCAGATTCACTGGCGCTCAGACTCGCCCGCTCTCAGTCTCTCGCACGCAGACCTATCGTCTTCGTTCGCGTCGTGCACCCCGCCGACGCCGCTGGCGCGCCCCTTGCGCGGTTCGCGGCGTCATCGGGGGCGCCGGCGAAGATGGTATCCACGATTGCGGTATTCACAACTGTATATGGTTGGGTCCTTCACCAGGCTACTTTCTTGCTCTGCGAGATCAACGGCGCGTCGTCTGCACGCGCTGCGTCGCGAGCGGCCGCGCGGGCGAGCTCCGGCTCTGAATCGATGGAGACCGCGACGTCGAACATCGCGACAGTCTGGACCGCGATAACCAGATAAGGAGAAAGAGGGCACCCTTGAGCAATACTTGCTTGTTGATGCCGTTGAGCGGACTTGCGCGCGAGGTCATGAAGTTCCGCAGCCGCGCCGTGCACTCCTTCGACGCATCGCTGTCCTTCTTCGGGCAGGCAGCCCTCGCCGCCTTGAAGTTCAGCGGCGCCTGCGAGCCTCCAGCGGGCAGCCTCTCCGCGGTCTTGTCGAGCTGCGCGGCGCGCTGGCGGGGCGGCCTCTCGCCATCCTTCGCGCAGCCCCTCGGCGCCCCCGGGCGGTCGGGCGCGCGATCGCCAAGCAGGCGCGCCGTCGCGGGGGGCCCCCCCTCGCCTGGCCTGCAGGTGGAGGCGCCAGCAGCGGGCGCGCTTCCTCCCGGCCTCCACTTCAACCCTGAGGCTTGCGAAGCCGGCTGCTGAGCTCCTCCAGCTTCAACTCGTCGAGCTCGATGCCGCGGATCATCTCCTCCTCCTCGCTGCGCAGCGTGGTGGGCTCGTCCTTGGCGGGGGTCAGCTCGAGCCCCTTCGCCGCGCCCCAGTGCCCGTCGTTGACTGCCACCTGCACCGCCTTCAGCCGCTGGGTCAAAATGTCCAGCGCCTGAGGGATCTTGCCCTGGAGGAAGAGCCGATCGCCTCGGCCAGCGTCCGCATCTCGCGACACGCGGCCGCCCCGATCTGCCGCACTGGGTTCTGCGGCGGGTAGATCGTGAGCAGGTACCTCAGCACGAGCGCCGTCGTCGGGTCCACCGCCGCGTCGCCCTCGACGGCGCCGAGGAACTCCGCTATCTGCATCAGCGTGAGCTCCGACAACTTGCCAGGCTGGTCCTGCGCCATCTTCCTGCAGCGAGCCCGCTTGGTCGCAAGGCCCCCCGTAGCCGCGGCACCGTCGACCCCGCTGAAGGCGTCCGAGGCGGCGCCAGCGCCCGAGCTGCCAGCAGCCTGCGCGACCGAGCTCTTGAGCACCGCCATGAGCGCCGTCGCCAGCTCCTTCGCGCCCTCGCCCGCAGCACCCCCGCTGGCCGCAGCAGCTGGGCCGCCCGAGCCGCGCGTCGCTTCGGCGCTGGGGCCCTTGGCGACCGTCGCCATGCGCTCCGCGAGCACCTCGGCGAGGCACCGCTTCTTCGGCTCGCCCTCGCTCGGCGCGCCCCCTGCGCTGCCTGGCTGCGCGCCAGCCGCGGCGGCCCCGGGCGCCGCCGAGGCGAACCGGCCCCGCGCCGCGGCGAGCCTGGCCCGCAGCTCGCCCCGCGCGGGCCCCAGGTCGAGCGGGGGGCCCGCAGCCCGCAGGGCCAGGGCACCGTCGCCGAGCAGCGCGTCGAAGGGAGCGTCGTGACCCGCGGCCGCGCGCGCTCCTGCTGCCCCATGCGACGGCGGCGCGGCGCTCTCCCTCTTCGGGCGCGCCGCCCGACGCGGAGCAGCCAGCCGCGCCGCGCGCGGCCCCGGCAGGTCCGCCGGCCAGATCGCGTCGAGGTTGCGGGCCAAGCAGTTGGAGAAGACTTCCGCGATATCCTCTGCCTCCAGCCGGCGGGCGTCCGAGACGTGGCTGAGCTCCTCGCAGCCCTCGGGCGCCTCCTCACCGCGCGGCTCGCCCGCGCAGACGTGCAGCAGGACGCCGGGGGAGATCGCGCCCGCCGCGCCCGGAGAAGCCGCCCCCAACCCCAGCGCGCGTCGTCGCTGAAGAGGAGCCTCGCGCGCACGAGCTGCTCGGGGGCGGCCGTGGACCGCAGCGCCTGCCACGCGAAGCCGCGCTGCTGCTCCCCGTCGTCGCTGAAGCCCGTGCTCAAGTAGAACGCTTTCGGCTTGATGACGATTGGCTCGGCGGGCGACGGCTCCTGCTCCTCCGACTCGGCGGCCGCCTCCTCGTCGCCCTCGACGACCTTGAGCCCCGCGCCGTCGCCCAGAAGACGCCGCGGCACAGGCCGCGCCGCCAAGCCGCGCGACGGGCGCCGCGCGGATGCCATGGCGCACTGCGACCCTCGCGCCGCGGCGTGCGCACCACCGCGACGCGGCAGAGGGGGGCCCGGCTCAGGGCCAAAACTCACTGAGCCAGAACAGCTCTGGAACGGAGGGTAGACGGCGCAGGGGATGCACGCGCCAAATGGTATGACCATACAAGCCAGTATACGGACATTCACAAGAGTGCATTGGCGCTTAGCGCCATGCACATTGGTCCTTGAGGCTTTGCAAATGTCGGTCGTTCGCACCAGTCCTAGTGGCTTTGGAAATATGGCCCCTTCCCTGTGGCGGTTTTCAACAGTCTTTCGAAAGTTCGGGCGGCCCCTGGCCCTTCCTGGGCCTCCAGGGCCCCCCGAAAGGCACCGGGTGGAGGGCGATTGATAGGGGGGGGGGGTCTCGGGGGGCAAGGAAAGGAAGCGGATGCGGGGGGGGGGGCGAGCGGTGGAGCGGCAGAAAGAAGAGGTGGAGGGCGAGGGGCGCGCGTACTCGAAGAGAGACGAGGCGAGGGCAAGCGGGCAAGACGCGAGAGGGGGGCAAAGTTCGTCTCGCCCCCTGCCTGTTGCCGCCACGCCTACCTCAGGATGCACTTCGTACGCTCGACGCTCTGGCCGCCAGCATGGGACCATGCGCGGTGAGCGCAGAAATGTAAGTCATGATCTGCATTCGGGAACAGGGGGAGCGCAGGGATGGCGGGAAGGGCGGAGGGCGAAGGGCAAATTTGAGGAAGCGACGAGGAGCGAGATGGAGCGTGCCAAGTGCGGGGCACTGGGCTACAATGACGGGCGGCGGGTGTCTCGGCGCCACGCGCATCGTCCGCAACTCCGAGCAGCAGAACGGCACGATCATCATGTGGAAGCTCCGAATTAGGGCATACCAGCTCGTCTGCCAGGCCTATTGAGAGACGAGCAGCAGCATCGAAGTGGGAGAGGTCCCAGCGGCGAAGGTACAGCGCGCCAGGAACCGCCTAATCGTGCCCGTCGCCAACAGCAGCATGCAGACATGAATCTGCATCAGGAAGAGCTGGTTCGGGAAGGTCGGCGTCGGCCGAACAGCGAAGGTACGGAGCACCAGGTAGAGCCCGTTCTGCCATTCATGTCAATCGCCTTCGGGATAGTCGTCGCAAGCATCAACACGCAGAACGCGGGCTGGGCGGGCAGCGGCAGCGGCTCCATGATCAGCTTCAAGTGGATCTTGTTCGGGAAGGGCGGCGCCAACCACTTCTTCAACCAGAGTACCGCCGTGCAGAGATTCACAACCCACGTCCGAGTCGGAATGGGTATCAAGATATTGCCAAAGCTGGAGGTTGAACATGTCGCATAGCAGGCGACGCCGCGTTTCCACGACCTGAACCCATGCGGCCTCGTGCTGCATGGGCTTCTCATTCTCCGAGTACGTGGTGTGGTAGGGGTATGCTCCGAATCGGCCAGCAGGACGACCAGGCGGCGTTCAGCTTCTGCAGCATCAGCGGCGGCGCCATGCGGGCCAGGAAGGACATGGACACGAGGATGCGCGCCCGCGCCAGCAGCATCTTCTGGCACGTGAAGAGGAGCGGTGGCGTGGACAACTTCGGCAGGAGGCTTGTCCCGATGAGGGTCGGCAAGAGTAGCAGCATCAGGGGGGACCCCAACAACGGGCTCACGTTCTTCAGGAAACGACCAGCCAGCCAGAGGGGCACGATCAACAGTAGGACGACGGTCGCCGCCATCAGGTCCACACTCGACAGCACGCATTTCGGCAACGCGAACAGGTTGGACATGCAATTCACGTGAACCACCCGCAGCAACACGTTCTTCAAATTCGCGGTCCGATTGACCAGGCGGCGGAAGACGACCAGCACCTCGCCGTACAGGGAGAGCACGATCTTCAAATACGCGGGCAGCGTGACCGAACGGCGGAAGAGGACCAGCACCATGCCGCATAGGACTATGAACGCTTCCTCGAGCCTCCCCTGCAACCCGTAGCCGTTGGATGAAGTCGGCGGCGAGGTGCAGGTCGTCGTTCATGCAGACACCCAAGGAGATGATCGGTAGTAGTAGTAGTAGTAGTAGTAGTAGTAGTAGTAGTAGTAGTAGTAGTAGTAGTAGTAGTAGTAGTAGCAGTAGCAGTAGTAGTAGTAGTAGTAGTAGTAGCAGTAGCAGTAGCAGTAGTAGTAGCAGTAGCAGTAGCAGTAGCAGTAGCAGTAGCAGTAGCAGTAGTAACAGTAGTAGTAGTAGTAGTAGTAGTAGTAGTAGTAGTAGTAGTAGTAGTAGTAGTAGTAGTAGTAGTAGTAGTAGTAGTAGTAGTAGTAGTCGTAGTAGTCGTAGTAGTCGTAGTAGTAGTAGTAGTAGTAGTAGTAGTAGTAGTAGTAGTAGTAGTAGTAGTAGTAGTAGTAGTAGTAGTAGTAGTAGTAGTAGTGGTAGTAGTAGTAGTAGTAGTAGTAGTAGTAGTAGTAGTAGTAGTAGTAGTAGTAGTAGTAGTAGTAGTAGTAGTAGTAGTAGTAGTAGTAGTAGTAGTAGTAGTAGTAGTAGTAGTAGTAGTAGTAGTAGTAGTAGTAGTAGTAGTAGTAGTAGTAGTAGTAGTAGTAGTAGTAGTAGTAGTAGTAGTAGTAGTAGTAGTAGTAGTAGTAGTAGTAGTAGTAGTAGTAGTAGTAACGTGTGGCTGGTGCGGAGGACCTCCCCGGAGTGTGCTGGGCGGCGGCAGCTGATCAGCCAACTGCAGCGTGCGCGCGGCTGGTGAATCAGCAGCCGCAGGATCCGCTTGCAGGGGTAGGCGGTGCTTGGCCTTGCCGTAGTTCGTGTTTTCGCGGAGGTACTCCTTGAATTCTGAATCGCTGAGCTGCTCCTTGGCGGCGAAGATGGCCTGACGCAACGAGTGCGAGCGCTGGCCTGGAAGCTGTTGAAGCTCATGATGAAGGCTGAGCCCGCGAAGAACGCGACGTGCATGTGGCGCCACCTGCTGAGGGACGGCGACATGGCGAGCTCCGAGAGGAAAAAGGTTGTAGAACTCCACGCTCGATGGTGCGGGCGCGTCGCTCGGTAAGCTCAGTCACACTGCGACGGTGCACCATGCAGAAAGTCACACGCAGATACAGCGGCAGACATCGCAACCAGCAAACATGCTTGGGGCGTGCAGCAGCGCGTGTGGGGCTGCGTCCTAACATGAAGTTGGCTTGAGCCAAAATGGCAACGGAAGGAGGAGGAGGAGGAGGAGGAGGAGGGCGCCGGCGGGGGACGGCGAAAAATGTTGCAGCGGGTTGCAGCGGGTCGCAACGTGGCACGCGAAAGCAAGCAATTCTTAAGGAATGCACCCAATCTCGGGTTCGAAACAGAGTTCCGGCACTTGTGGTTGCGAACCTGGGATTCGGGTCAATTTGGTGGAAAGCGCCGTGTGGGCCTTGTTGGAGCCCTGGTGGGCCTGCTCGGGGCCGTCTCGAGTCGTCTTGGGGGCCATCTTGGGCCGTGTTGGGGAGCTTGGGCCCTTTAGGGACCTTACGGGGGCTACGTCGGCCCTCCTGTTGGCCTCTCATGATCTTTTGGGGCGCCTCCCATGGCCTTCTTGGGCTTCTCTTGTGGGCCTTGTGAAGGCCTATTTGGCATCTGTTTGGTTCATGTGGGGGTTCCTTGGGCAGTCTTGGGGCCGCCCAGGCCGTCTAGAGGCTCTCTTGGGGGTCTCTTGGGCCATCTCAGGGCGATACTGGAAGCCTTTCTGGCTGTTTTGGACGCTGCTAAGACTCGAATAGCGAATGTGCTAGAAATGCACGTTTCCCTATGGGGATGAAACGATGTTTGCGTTCTGGGAGTCCTGTTGAGGGCCTCCTGGGCCGTCTTGGGGGCCTCTGGAGGCCATCTGGGTCCTTCTTGGAGCGCACTTGTGCTGTCTTGGGTCGCTCTTCGGGTTCTCTGATCACCGCTCTGCTTGCTTCAAGGCCTTGTGAGGGCCTGTTGGGCCTCTTTTTGGCTCAATTGTGGCTTTCTTGGGCAGTCTTGAGACCATCCAGGCCGTGTAGAGGCTCTCTTGGGGGTCTCCTGGGCCGTCTTGGGGCGATCCTGGAGGCCTTCTTGGCTGTTTTTGACGCTGTTAAGAGCCGAACAGCGAATGTGCTAAACATGAACGTCCCTGCGGGAATGAAGCGATTTCTGCGTTCTGGGAGCCCTGTTGAGGGCTTCCTGGGCCGTCTTGGGGGCCTCTGGAGGCCATCTGGGTCTTTCTCGGAGCGCATGTGTGCTGTCTTGGGTCTCTCTTCGGGTTCTCTGATCACCGCTCTGCTTGCTTCGGGGCCTTGTGAGGGCCTGTTGGGTCTCTTTTTGGCTCAGCTGGGGCTTCCTTGGGTAGTCTTGGAGGCATCCACTCCGTCTAGAGGCTCTCTTGGGGGTCTCCTGGGCCGTCTTGGGGCGATCCTGGAGGCCTTCTTGGCTGTTTTTGACGCTGCTAAGACCCGAACAGCGACTGCGCTGAAAATGCACGTTTTTTTTCTCAGGGAATGAAGCGATGTTTGCGTTCTGGGAAACCTGTTGAGGGCCTCCTGGGCTGTCTTGGGGGCCTCTGGAGGCCATCTGGGTCCTTCTTGGAGCGTTCTTGTGCTGTCTTGGGTCTCTCGTCGGCCACTCTGGCCAACGCTCTGAGCGCTTGGGGCATGCTGGCAGGACCCGGCTAAGCGCCCTGGGAGGTCGGGGACGAGCCGGGGGACCTTTGGCAGAGATGTCAAGAGGGCCCGGACCCCCCCGATCCTGGGGATCTAATTCTTTTTTTTGGGGGGGGACGGCGTTTTCCCACCCTCCCGGCTCGTAAAAATATTAGAACAGGAATATATACATATTCACCACCGTGCCACTGTGGCACGAAGTGGAATGTCCTTTGGCCCCTCGATGAATCCCTAAACATAAACTCTGAAGATTCTGTTAGCGGACCCAGAGGCTTCTGAGACTTGCCACGTGCACTTTTGCGGAGCGGCGCTCCGCTACTTGGGGTGAGGCCAAAGAATTTGGATTGCGTGTCCGCAATCAGCGGAAAGCCGCTCCGTTAATTGCCCTCGAACAGTGGGCTTCGGATCGCTTTGACCCCATTAGGGGAGCGTCGCTCCGCTAACTGGTCTCAAACCGAGGAATTAGAATTACCGATGCCTCGATCCCATTGGCGGAGCGCGCTCTGCAAATGGGCTGAGACCACCCAATCCGCCAATCGCCTTGCAACCCGGCCACGAGTGGCACCACTTGGGCCATCTCATCGGTCCAGACGGCCTGAGAGGCTCCCAAGAGGGGCCCAAGAGAAGGAACCCGAACTGTTTGTTTGAGCTCTCCGTCCCAAGAGGCCGCCAAAGAGCCCCTAAGGCCAGGAGGCTCCACGAGGCCTCTAAGAGGCGCCCAAGAGGCACCTAAGAGGCCCCCTGATCTGCCCCCAATGGGGCCTCAACACTGGCTCCACGAAGCCCCCAATAGGCCGCCCGCGACATCCCAACGAACATCCTAGAGGCACATGGCCCACAACCAAGACACGGTGGCGGGATGGGCCGAAGGCCATTCGACCTGCTTAGCACGGGGAAGGAAGGCGCATTTGCATTCAGAGCGCAAGAGATCGTTGGCTCATCTGTTATTCCTCCTCATCGTTCCCATTTTCCCCTCGCCCTTATCTCATCCTATCATGTTTTCCCTTATCCCTGCGCTCTTGACTGGATTGTCTCATAGTGGTCGTTTTTTGTCGTGCTCTGGGCTTCGGGGTGAGCATCTTGGGGGCACGCCTGGGCCCTCCTTGGGCCGACAAGTAAAGCTCCCTTGGGCAGTCCTGGGGCCCTCTTGTGTCATCTTGAGGCCCCGTGACAGAGCCTCTTGGGCTGTCTTGGCGCAATCTCGGGGACTTCCACGGCTGTCTCGGGCCGTTCTTGGCCCGCATCGGCGAGAAGCTCAAACACGATCAACAACATACAGCAAATCTACGCAATTAGCCTCTTCAGGCTCTCTTGGGAGTCCTCTTGGGGGCCTCTTGGGGCGTCTTCGAAACGTCTTTAGCCAACTTGTGCCGTCTTTGAGCGCTCCAGGGACGTCGTCTCCGAGCGTTTTGGAGCGCTCTTGGACTGTCTTGGAGGGCCCTTGGGCCATCTTCGATCGTCCGCTCGGACCGTTTTGGAGCGCTCTTGGGCCATCTTGGGCCGCCTTGGAGTGCTCTTTATAACCCTTTCAAGCCTTCTTGAACGTTTTTATTGCCTCCTCAGGTCCTCTTGGGGTCTCCGCCACCGTGCCTCTGGGCATGTAGTTGGCGTGTCCTCAGGTCCTTTGCCTAATCTTCTGAGCCTCAACCCTCACTCCTGACGAATCTGTTCAGGGCCCAGCCCAAAATCTCGCTTCTCCCGCCGGCGTGCCGCACCTTCTCGCGTCTTGTCGCAAGACTGCGTCGGACCCAAAGAGGGCTCGGCGACGGGCCAAGAGGGCCCCAAGAGGCCCTCAAGACGGTCCAAGACGGCCCCGAGTCGCCGAACAATCGCCCTAATATACTAAAGACGGCTCCAAGACCGCCCAAGAGGCCTCCAAGGCAGAGTCAAAATACATTGGTGTCCTTAGGTGTATGGGGCATTGTGGCGTTCTCGCCTTTTCGGCTTCCCGACGCCGAGTCCCCCAAGACGGCTTCCGACGAGGAACGCCCTAAGACGGCCAAAGAGGCCCCCAAGAAGCCCCCCAAAGCCTCCACCAGCCCCAAGAGGCCCAAGGAGGCCCCTAAGAGGCCTCCAAGAGTCCACCAGGAAGACCCCAGGAGGCCCCGAGAATGACTCAAGAAGCTCCCAAGAACTCTCCTCATCCTTCTCATCATTCTCCTTTTGTCCTCCCTCTCCTCACCCTCATCTTCCTCCCCCACGTGTTCCCCGAAAGGTTAAGATGTCCCCCAAAGGCCCAGGACGACCAGGAGACGAACCCATTGCGGCCGCAAGAGACGTCCCAGACGGCTAACATTGCCCTAAGACGGCCCAACAGGGCCCCTCGAAAGCCGAAGAGGACCCCAAGAGGGCCCAAGAGGGCCCCAAGACACCTCCAAGACTGCCGCACAGAAGGCTTACATCCGTGGGCGCGCTGCGAGAGCGGGCAATGCTCTGACGAATATCGTATTGGAACTCCTGGCACACGGAGGGGACAGGGAAGAATGAGAAAGAACCGATTGTGGTGGTGATGCTGATGTCGGGGCGCGCAAAGTCGAGGTAGGGTCTGCTGCACACGATTGCCAGCAAGGCCGCACCAGATCAGAACCGACCAGGAAGAATGTGACGAAAAATATGCGACTTAATACTTAGCCACTGTGAAACAGGACGGCAGACGACGCTGATAGTTTCAGACACCATATGTCTCACCATGCCCTCTATATTACTGTGGCACCTCGAACTCACTACCTTTACTGCGCAAGGCGGACGGTCGCCCCATCCTCATACTCCTCATCCTTCTCATGCTTCTCGTCGTCATCCTTTATCTCCTCCTCCTCCTCCTCCTCCTCCTCCTCCTCCTCCTCCTCCTCTCAAATCACTAGACTCACTCTGGGCCGCGGTCCGCCACCCTCCACATGGCTTTGGCAAGGGAGCCTCAAAAACAGCCCCCGACGCGTACCACCTTTGTCCCCTTGCACACCACCTGTCACACCGAATGTACTGCAAACGCCTGTTCAGTCTTGCACCCATCTGGGTTCCCCCTCGGCCCCTCAGTAAACAGCTTCGCATGGCCTATCCAAGTTGTCAGGATGCCTCGAATTGGGGAGGAGCCCTTCCTGTATTATCTGGTCAGCGCTCAGCTGCTCTCACGACGCCTGTTTCCTCAAGGCTGGTGTCAGACAGACCTCTACTCCCCGTTCGTTCAGATTCGGGTTCAGAGCGCGGGGAGGGCTCGATCAGGGAGGAGACCTCTGCGTGCCGCCTTCGCGACTGCCAGAAGATATCATTCCTGTGGGCCCCAAATCTGGAACAAGTCTCAATGTTGGAGAGAGCGTGATCCAGGGCCGCTTTACTGTGGAACATTCCCCCCCCTCTTCCTCCGGAGCCCGCCGGTCCCCAACCCCTCTCCGAGAATCCCCCCCCTGCTGGAAACCCCGCCCCCCTCCCCCCGGCAAAACCCCCCCCCCTCCCCTACCCCCCCCCCCTCCGGAAAACCGGGGGGGGTCACTACCGGTTCGAATCCCCCCGCCGCCCACTATAAAACCAGAGGGGGGTCACTACCTGTTCGAACCCTTCCCCCCTCCTCCAGAAAACCGGGGAGGGGTCACTACCGGTTCGAACCCCTCCTCCCCCCCCACACCACGCTCACCGCCAGCAAACGACTCCCAGGTCCCTACCACCGTCCGCACCACATCCCCCGCTGCTGTCCCCAGCACCACTGTCCTCACCACCATTGTCCCCACTGTTCCCACCACCGTCCCCACTGTCCCCACCAGTGCCCCCACCACTGTCGCAATGTCCCCACTGTCCCCACCACTGTTCCCACCATGGTTCCACTCTCCCCACTTTCTCCACGGCCCCAACCACTACCCCACTGTCCCACTGTCCCAATGTCCCCGCCGCTGTCCCACTAAGCTGTCCCACTGTTCCCACCACTGTCCCCACTGTCCCCCCCACTGTCCTCACTGAACCTCTGTCCCATTGTCCCACCGCCGTCCTCGCCACCGCCCTCACAACTGTCCCCACCACCTCTGTACCCTCCACTGTCCCACTGTTCCCACCACATTCCCACTGGCCCCACACCACTGTTCCCACCACCACAGTCCCCACCACTTCCCACCAGTGTTCCCGCTGTCCCCACCAGTGCCCCCACCAGTGTCTCCCTGTCCCCACTCTCCCCACCATTGTCCCACCACGGTCCCACTCTCCCCACTTTCCCCACGGCCCCCCCCACTGTCCCACTGTCCCCACTGTGCCCACCACTGTCCCACTGTCCCCGCCGCAGTCCCACTGTGCTGTCCCACCGTCCCCACTGTCCCCATCACTGTCCCACTGTCCCCACCACTTTCCCCACTGTACTAGTGTCCCACCACTGTCCTCACCACCGCCTTCACCAGTCCCTACCAAAACCGTTCCCACCACTGCCCCACTGTCCCCACCACTGTCCCGCTGTCCCCTCACCACTGTCCCCACCACCACCGTCCCCACCACTGTCCGCACCACTGTCCCCACCACCACCGTTCCCACCACTGTCCCAGAATCCCCGCCATTGTCCAACTGTTCCGAGGAGCGGGCGGCGAGGGGAGGGGGGGGGGGCTTCGAACCGGTAGTGAACCTCCCCCCTTTCATGATGGAGGGGGGGGGGGACGGGTTGGGAACCCCCAGTGACCGCCCTGGTTTTCCGCCAGCAGCGGTAGAACACGCTCTTTCCAATGTTGTGTACACGCATGCCCTCGCCATTGGAAAGCGGGAGCCAACTGGACAACGTGGGCGAACATAAGAAGCAACAGAGGAGCGGCTGCCCAACCTTACCACCGGCTCCAGAGTGCCACTCCATGAACTCCTGCCCCATCGCCCACCCCCGGATCGCTTCGATTTCCAAAACCGCTCGATCACTGCCTCGACGTGCACACGCATGACACCGTTGCTTGGGCGCGCGGCGTGCGACGGGAGAGCAGGAGCGGGTCCATGGGCTGGACTCGGGCTCTCTGGCTCTCACCTCCATCCACCCTCGCCCCCCCCACCCCCAGCGCGCCCTGCGCCGCTCTCCGTGCACAGCCGCCCTCCTCCAAGCTGTTTTCAACACATGGTCTACAGCGTCTTCGGACTCGTTCGTCCTTTTCCAGTGTGTGCCATGCGCATGGATATTCCGCCTCCCCCACGTTGGCGTGCCTCAAGTCCCTGTTGGCGTGCTCGGCTGGGCGAGCGAAGAGGTCCGTCGACATCAGCTCCACTGTAAGCTGCCCAGTCTGCAAGCCGCTCCGATAAGGCTGCGCGCAAGAACCCAAGAGGAAAATTGCATCGCAGAGCCTGCATGTTTCGATAAGCGCTGCTTGCTGGGAGTCACGTGTTGGCCTGCGTCTGGCGACGCTCCCTCCCCCTCCCCGCTCCCCTTTGCTCCTTTACCTCATATCCTCCTCCTTCTCCTCCTCCTCCTCCTCCTCCTCCTCCTCCTCTTCCTCCTCCTCCTCCTCATTCCTCCTCCTCAGCTTCCTACATGTCCTTCCCCTCCCCGTCTTTTCAATGTCAGCACGGCTGGCGGGAGGACAGGCGAGAGAAGAGATTTCTCGTGCAAGACACATAAAAGCATTGTGGCAAGCGCGCGTGACTGTCCCGGCTGTTCCTGTCCTGTGGTGACACTTTTTTTACGTCGGCGGCTAGGCAGAGTCACTGCGCTGGCGAGGAAGCGAAACGGGGCTTCAACCCTCCCTCCCGTGGTGACACAGGCGACTAACATGGTGGGAAACATCCGCGACGTACCGCCCGATCTGGGGGCATGAACACACAGCGGGGCTCAGCGCCGTGCGTCAGAGGTGAAGACTGTGTTTCCTCCCCCACCTCTGCGTCCCTTCAACCAAGCCTCAATGAACCCGCTGGGCTCCTCAAGCCTGGGCGCAGCTGTCTTTGTGGCAGCTGCATTTGAGCATGGTAGGGCCACGGGTATGGCTAATCAACGAATTGTGCGATCCCGACGGCAGCTCTGGCTGCGCCTAGCTAGCCCCCCAAACCATGCAACCCTGTACACGACTCACAGACTTAGCGGATGAAGGAAACAAAAACATGTGGGCAAGACTGGTGACCAGATAAAAAAAACAACACGGGACAACTGCTTCCACGTGAACGTGCCTGAATTCACGCACTCTGACATGTTCTCACGTCCGACGGACACCCTTTGACTGGCAGTCGTATCAATCCCAGTAGGCTGAGGTGGAGCAACGTACGCGCCTGCTAGTGGAATGGATCAGGCCATCAAGGTGGAAGAAAGTGCCGATGCTCATAAAAGAGGGTTATATGTCCTGACGCACCAGGCCGTACGTGTGTGACTTGCCCTTGAGGCCCTGCAAATGGCCCTGGAAGATGGAGCCGCCGCATGGTCTGGGCTGCCCGCCGTCTCGTGCTCAGGCCTGGTGCAACCAGTCGCTGTGCAGCCTCAGCGTGCCATTGCCTCACCCAGGCGCCGCGCCTCCTGCTGACAGAAGAAGGCTTCCACGGCGGCAGGGTCAGCCCATGCACAAGCCTCAGCGGGGCGCTGCGCCTCTCTTCGCACGGGTCCTCCACGCGTGTTGGCATACCAAGGCCACCGTCACGCTAACATTGGATTTCCTGCTCCGAGGGCGCATGGGGACCCTTCATTTCGTGCAGCATGGCGCTGTTCACTGCAGCGAAACTGCACCCGCTGCCGACCGCCACCTCAATGCGACCGTGCCTGATCGTCTCTCGTATGCCTCAGCTGCGCTGGATGCTCTTCCAGCCATGTCCAATTGTCAGTCAGCGTCGTGGACGTGGTGGCTGGGAGGGCGTGGTGCCCTCGGTCATCTGTTCTGTACTTCATGCATCTCGTGGCGCTCGGAGGCACATGCTGCGCACCCGAGCGCGAGGACCCCCGTCGCCGCAGGCCCTACTTTGCCATCCTCGCTGATCGGCGCCCAGTGGGCGAGGTTCTAGCTCGAGCAGTGGTGTGGCCAGCATGTGCTGCGGCAGGCAAAGCGCGTAGCGCTGAGCGACGAACAGGGCAGAGGGCTTTGGCAACATGAACTCGCTGGTGTCGAAATCGTGGACACTGGAAGGCCCATATGTCGATCAACGGCGGCGCCAAGATGAGCAGGTGCGCAAGGCACAGCACGGAACGCGGTGCCCGTAGTCTGTGTGCGCAGTGCGAGGTCGCATCCCTCGAGCCGTGGGTGCACTGGACGGGCAAGAGGGCGGGGGCATCGGTGTTTCGCCACCTGGGCACTGTGTCCTCGGCGTCGCAAGCTGGATGCTGGGCGTGCTGACCATCCGCTGGGGCACCATGCAGCGCCTCTGAATAGTGGCAATCACCCTGATGCTCCTCTTGTCCTTGAAGCTTCGTCTGCCGTCCCATGGCCGCTGCGAGGAGCGCGACGTCCCCAAGTCGGGTCATCTGGCCACGAAGGCTAGCAAGACCACACTCTCTGAATGCATCTCCGTGTGCCGTGCGCGACCCCGGCTGAAACTCCAATCGGAAACTCTTCACGGACGCGTTTTACGTCAGCACGCCCCACCATGACGCGACGATCAGCATGTGCGAGACCAGCTCACTCCCGGAGTGACTTTCGTCTGGCCTGGAGCCTGACATGCTACATTCGCCTTTCCATCCTCCTCTTCTCTCGATCCTCCTCCTCCTCCTCCTCCTCCTCCACATCCTCCACCTCCTCCTCCTCCTCCTCCACCTCCTCCTCCTCCCTCCTTCCTCCGTCTTCCCCGCTCCTCCTTCTCATCGTTCTCGTTTTCCTCGTCCTCGCCGTCGCCCTCCTCCACCTCGTCCCTATCCCTCCCTCTTCCTGGCGCTGGAGCTGGCCACAGGAGTGAGGCCCCTGGTGGCACTCGGAAGTCATCCCTGAGGGCCACTTGTCCACCTCTCACGTATCGCCGCCCAGGTTTCGCGAAGGGTCGCGGAATCGCGGCGGCACGAGCTGCTGCGGAGCTGCCTGGCAGTTACCTGCGCAGCGCCACGGACAGTTCCACGCCCCAGCGCAGGCAAAGTGGGCTGCCGAGCCAATTGGAGAAATTCACGCAAGGCGGCCTTGCTGTGGCGATCGCCCGCTGAAAAAGTTATCAAAGGGGTCACCGGCCAACGGCGGCTGTCAGCCGCGTCGGCCGCGCATTCGCGGCGCCTCCTCTCGGCGGGCGGCCACCGCATGGGCGCATGGGTCACGTGACGGTCACGCACCCGTTGACCTGCGACCCTCGTCTCGAAGGTCCGAGAACGCCAGCCGAACCTGTCCCAGCTCGGGCGTGGACGGGGCGATCTGCGTGGCAGCCGCATATTTTACGCACGCGTTGCGGCGCGTCTTCGACGCCTCTGCTGCGGGCCCTGGTTCCCCCGCCGCGGGTACACTGGAAGGCGCAGGGACGCACTGTTGCAGAGCTGCTCTCGGCACTCCCGGAGCTCGCGCGGGCTCTTGGAAAAAAAACTCCCGTTGAGTGTGATTTCTGCCCAAGGAGCGCGCACGCCTCGCACCAAACGTCGTCGCTGAGCCGTTGTGCGGTGCCCCCCTGCGTGAGGTCAGCCTCGCTTTGTCCTCGCTGGTGCTGGAACTCCGCAGGGCAGGAACCGATGTTTTTCCCAACCTTCGCGCGAATCCGTCATGCACCCAGAAAGCAAAGCCATAACTTTCTGCCACGCATTCGCGCGAGTTTCTTCTCTACCTGGGGAAACCAATAGGTACCGATACTGCTACGCCCAAAACCTCCCCCAGCGGGCGTTTTGAACCGAATTTCAAGGCGAACGTAGCGGTGGCGACGAGGACCTCCCAGGAAACCCAAGAATGGGGAAAAAGAGGGACACGTAGCGGCATGGGCACCTTGTCCTCATCTGAACACCTTGGCGCAAGATTTTCGAACGAGGTTCGCCCAATCGCTTCGCGCACCAGCAGCATCGGGCGGGCCACTCGGCATGCGGTGGCCTCGTCGAGCCACCTGACCCGCGTGGGCTCGCAGCTCCGCCAGGCTTGGGGCCCATGGAAGCACGCGCGACGCTGGTGCGAGCTGCTCCTGGCTGCGAGGGGCTCGTCTCAGGGGGCTGAGCAATGACGTAAACATAAAAATACGGAGCTCCGCGCGGATGCCTCGGATGGGCGCTGGGGCACCCTTGCGGCGCCTCTGGCGCCGCCCCTGGCGCGCTTTGCGCGCCATGGAGGGTGTCCGGCGCCGATCCGAAGCATCTGCGCGGACCTCAGGAGTTAATATATATATATATATATATGTATATATTGATATATATACACATATATATATATATATATATAAGTTTGAACATCTCTCGGAACTGTTGAGGGTTGGGCGCAGCCTCTTGTGCACCTGCCGAGTGCGCACTCCGTAAGTTTCTGCGCATCTCTGGGCGCAGGCCGTCCGCCGGGGTGAAACCCGGGGCCCAGGGCTTGGGCCCAGACAACAGCAGAGAGGTAACGACGGGGCTAGGCATGCCATCTCCACTCCGCCACCGAAGTCTTCACGCACCCGAAAAAAAGATGCTGATAACCAATCCTTCACTCACGTGACCCTTTGCATCTCCCTCGCTCTTGCGAACTTATCCTTCTGCTTCTTTTCCGTCTTGGTAGCCTCCACGGCAGGCTTCCCGGTCGCGCGCTGGCCGCTCTTCTTCATCTTGAGTGCTGCTGCCGCAGGGTCCTGCGCCAGGGGCCACTTCGCTTCGTGGAGCACCTTGAACAAGTAGGTCTTTTCAACGCACAGCTTCGTCAGCGCGCCCGCGCAACAATGTGGGGCTTGGCCACCTCCTTGTGCCAACTGAGCAGGTCCACCAGTACGCCCGCAGCCTCGCGCAGCAACATAGTTGCCAAATCTACTGCCTCCACTGCGCCC